GGCTTGAACTACTTCAGTTGGTGTGCAATGAATCTAAAATATATGAAAGTTTAATGTTTATCAGTACATTACAGAAAATAATGAACTTTATCACAATATTCTAGTTTTTTGAGAAGGACCTGTATGTGCTGATGACTAAAATATTTTTGGTAATCACTACCAGTTGTGGTTAAACAAAACTTGCATGAAGCATTGAGTAAGAATTTAACAGAAATGCCAAAATCGACAGTTTTTTTTTTCATGGAAAAAGGCAGCAAAATTAGACTTTAACTTCAGATTTATGTAGAGGAGGTCCTGTTGGCACACCCACAAGGATTGTGCAATCAGTTTATTTCATGGAGCTTACCAGATGACAGTTTTTACTAGAATAATAATAAAAAAAACATTTCAATGACAAAGCAATGAAAAGACTAAACTCTATTAAATTCAACAGAAGCATGATCTCTCCACTGCTAATGGAATTGGACCAAATCAAAGCATTGGCGTCTGTGTGAAGCAAGAAGCCAGCCTGTAACTCATCACACCTCAGAGGAAACAAGCAGCTGTCTCGACATTAAACAGATGAGAGCTAAAATAAAACTTTTCAGAGGGTGACGACAGGTGCTGCAGCAGTGTAACATCAAATCCAGAGCAGGGCATAACATCATCATGAAGCAGACAAAATAGAAGAAATCTAAAACCAACTGTTTTGTGACAAATGTCATGGCTTGAAATGGACATTTCCATGAGTCTTTTAAGGAAAAAAAACAAACGACACCACAAAAATCCAAGAAAAAATAAAAGTTTATTTCATCTATACAGAAATGATGCAAGGTGCATCTCGAAGGGGGATTACTGTGAAGCAAAACAAATACTTTGGTACATTTAATTTTTCGAATAAGCAGCAGCTCCTACACATTTTAGGAAAATAGTCTCTTTAGAGTTTAGAATCAGCTTTGTAAGCTGGTATTTCAAAATAGTTAATGTTTTCTAAAAGGTCTATTTCTGACGCCATTGCACAGCCTTAAATTTTAAAACAATGAACATCTAATTATGAGCTTTCTTTAGTGAATCGGCGATGCTTTTAAATGATGTACAGTAAAAAAAAAAGATTAGAAAAAGGCATAAGTGATTCATAAAACAATTCAAATTCTACAACACAAACATGATCCAGTTGTTCTGTAGAACGCCCCCTACTACTGAGATGAGCAAAAACAAAAGGATAAAGTTGCTGGGTTTAGAAAAAAAGTAACATATTTAAGTGCTGTCTTTACAAATCCCACTAACAAAAAAAAATATTGTATTTGATGTCTGCTTTGCCTTTTAGTCTTAACCAGAGAAGTAACTAGATGCTAAAGTTTGCAAAATCAAAACATCAGAAGCTAAAATGATTCCGTCCTGAAATGAGTTGCAGAATAAGTGCAAGAATCTTGCACAATAAGAACAAACACTACAATAAAGGTAAAATGACATATAAAGTGCAAAGAGAGGTTCCAATAAATGCACTGGGGCTGGCTGTGGTAGTCACAGAGGCAGTGTGTGAGTACGCTAAAATGCCTCGTCCCTTTTACCCTTACCCTTTTTCTTTAAGCTCTTTATCAAATTTTTGTCTACACAGCTTTTTTTTTATATTTATTTATTTCTCGCAACAACTAACCGAGGCCATTTGATGTGTAACGTGAAAGATGTCCAATAAGATTAGCGATATTCACTCTGTGTTGCCCTTTATTGCTTTTTAAATGGAGATGCATTTATTTTTCCTGTGGCTTAAAAGAAAAATTAGGAATTAAAAAGGGCAACAAGATCATTAGGTCAATTTTTTTTTGTTTGTTTGTTTTTAGGTAATTACCCATTTATTCCCATTAAAACAAAACACAATTTCCCCAACAATCTCTCTGGAATCAACAGAAAAATAGTAAACATTAAAAAAAAAATTCTCAAAATACTGCCCAAACCAAGATCAGTGCCAACTACAGTGACAATTGTAACATCAACAATATCAGTATAGTAAAAAAAAGAATTACAATATATAAATTTATATATATATCTTAATAAAAATCAAACCAGAGTTTCTCTAACATGACTATATTGAACAATGTAAACCTACCCTTATCAAAGTTAGCAAATATAACAGTAAGCACATCAGTCGAATTCCTCTCACAGAGAGCGCTCACATCATTGTTTCTATAATGGTGTGGGTGGGCTTGATCAAGCCATTGTTCCCGTTTGGGTCCAGGGGCTGTGTCAGCTCGCTGCACTTCAGACTGTACTCTTTCGGGCGAGAGCTCACGTCTGACTTTGCCGGAGCTGCCACTGCTTTGATTCTCTGAGGGGGGAAAAGAGAGGACTTTATTAGGATAAATGTTTGTCAGGAAAGGGGCTCGTTTGAGGCTTAGAATGACAGGGATCAGGCTTTACACAGTAAATGTTTGTGTTGTGTGTGATGTAGGTCAGTCAAAAAATGACCGACTCACGTTAAAAGTTTAGTTTGAAGGTAGCATAAGACAATGCAAAACATAAATAAAAATCAATCCCAACTCATCTAAACTCATTCACTTGGCTGTCTCGGTGCTTCAGCAGACTTAAACCTATGATAAACTATAAACAATGAAGTGATGCCAACTTTTCTCTTAAAGAGTGGTGACGCTAGCCCAACAATCTGCTTAAAAGCTAATCTATAAACTGAATATAAAAGTTTCACATAGACTGCAAACCTGAAAAGCTTAGCCAACAAATGAGGGTTTTAAACTGGGCAACAACTCAACCAGTGACTTCTCTAGTTGTAAAAATCAATAAGAATAACGTGGTTTGTTTTCTAAGTCAGAGGTCTTTAATGATAGAGTTGTGAAATTATTTTAAATTTTATTTTGTACCATGAATCAAACATGAAGCAAGTTGATAAATTGAGGCATAAAATAATGTGTTTTGGTCAGAAATGCACACATTCAGTGAGCACACCAGCTGAACTCTGCTTCACTCACAACCAGACCCTCCGTGTGTTCTGCAAAGAGAAGGACCCAAACGTCCTGGACAGGTAATGTTTGCTCTGTCAGGTTCACACTGGCTGAGAGCCTATGAAAGCTTTTGTAAAGTTTTGCAATTTTTCTATAACATTTCAGTACAACCTGCAGAATATATACACAATGACACACACACACACACACACAGACACAAACACACACAATTATATAGGGGGCCTTTTCTTTGTCTCTCCATCAGATTAGGGCTCCCAGACTGAAGAATGTTGAAGATCCCTGGTCTAAGTAATTACTTGTAAGTCTTCTTTAACAAAATATGTTTTTTTAAACTATATTATTATGTCAACTATGGTAAATCAAACAAAACAGGGATCATTTTTGTTCTGAGCTGCCTTATTTTGGTAAATAAAAACCCTTCCTTAAATTTGTTGGCCTTGCCTATTTTAATTCTAATATGGTCCAAATAAACAAACAAAAGTTGTAAAGATCAAAATACGTTTATCATGATTTTAACGCTATAGTCCTCAAACCACTGTGGCATTATATTAATACATTAGATGAAAAGCTTTGATTGTCCAATTATTAGCACCTCGTACTAAATGAAATAGATTTACTAGCAAATGAACATTTTGGCTTTGAAAATAAAATGAGCAAGTATAAAAATTACGACTATATGGACGATTCGAGGCATTTCTACAGGATATTTGCAGTTAGCTGTTGTCAGGAGAACTGGTGTTTTGGGTAGTTACTGGTTTGCTTCTGTTGCATAAACAATCAAAAAAGCTAATATAGGTGAAAAAGCTGAACAGGTCTATTTAAAGTTGGAGTTTACGCAACATTAGGTTGTGTTATTGCCTCGTGGTGTATGTAGGTGTTTATTTCTGCTTACTGCCTGCTGACTTACTGCTGGAAAGCTACTGTATCCTTACTGTGGTTAGTCATTATTTTTTTCAGAAAATAGACACTTCCTGGTGAGATGCAGCACTTAGCTGTTATTAACTGAGGTGTAGCCAGCATGCGCTAAGGTGGTTTATAATAGATACTGGTGAAGACCTTCTTGGTTTCAAGTTCGAACTTTGTGTGTCAGCTCACCTCAATCAGAGGTCCCTCAGACTGCAGGATCTTGATGACCATCACCATGGGGATGCAGATCATGGAGGTCAAAGCCAAACACCAACCCAGACCAACTGCCCATTCAGGATACTCATAAACCTTGTTGTAGGTCAAGGGCTTGTACTTCACCAGAGAGAAAATGAAGCAGCCCTGAAAAAGCAAAACGCACGCCACATTTAGTACAAGTTCTGCAATACTTCCCGTGACCTGGAAGATTCAGCTATTACCATTTGTCACATGTCTTCAATGACAACCCCCCCCCCCACACACACACACACACACAGCCATCCCAATAAAGAAACACTTGCTCTCACCATGCAGAGGACAGGAGTGATTATGGTCCAGCTCCATTTCATCCATGGGTTTGGTCTGTAGCCAATCATATCCTCAACTGCGTCATAGAAATTGTCAGCTCCTATCCAACACAAGCAGACAAAAAAGGTGAGGACATGCAGTTTGTTTCAGCCAAAGGAGACACTATTTGTTCCTACTGAACGTTGTTTCTTCCAACAACCCGCCTGCCGGGATTATTCGTGATGTTTACCATAAACTGCAGCACATTTTTCCACTGGGTCACCTTCTGTGTTTTCCACAAACAGTCATGGCTTCATCTTAGTAGCTAAAAGGTCGTCCTTCCTGGCTGACTGCTGACTGAAGTCACCGATTGTAGTATGGGACAAACTTATGAATCATTTTTTATTGCTCTATATCTTTGTACTTTGATTTTTTTCTGTTCTTTCTAAGGACTCATTTGTGAAGGTTCCAATGAATGAACGAATAAAGATCACAGGAATGGACACAACCGGATACACTGTGAAAAGAAAAGAACAGCTACAAAAATTTATGAGCCTAATTCGCAGAATAATGCATGGACAACCTGAGAAAATCAACTCACATCTTGGGACTCTGCCTCATGCCTATAAGCATTAAAAGGTTTAGTTATAATGTAATGACTAATATTGTTTGTTTGGACATTTGTCCTGTTTTTCCCCCCTTTGGGTATTTACATTCACAAGCCATGTCAAAATAAAGGTCAAAAACATACTTTAAAAAAGTCAAAAACTGAATTAAACCCATACTGGTAATTTAAATGCAATAAATGATTACAGATTAGTGAAAAACACTTTTCAAGCTGAAGTCCGGCCCTGTTTTCACCCGCTTAGCTCCAAAGTTGGAAGGCAGTAATGTCAGGAACAGAGCTTCCATTCAACAAGACAAAGTCACTGAAAAGAGACTCTGTGTGGTTTAACCACAACAACATTACACACACTGTGCAGCATTGCTTTTATGGCATTTTCCCTTTCAGACAGGTTTTGTTTGTGCTAATCACAGGAGGAGACATTCTGCTGGGAGGCGACTCCGGAGGGCCAATCACCACCAAACGGGGGGGGGGTTCATTCTGTTTTCCTCCGAGCCTGAACACAAACCCGCAGTAAAACTTATTTATTACAGACGTGTAAAACACCCTCAACCTTTGAGAAATCCTTCCGGTCTTTTTATGTAACTCCTGTGAATCATTAATTGGGATGATATGGATTGGGTCATTTCCACTTACCATAAACCCAGGCTACAGCAATGCATTCAAAGAATGCAACCCACAGAAGGCACACACCACTGGCTGCATAGTAGTCAAAGAGCTGGAACACATACATGCCACCCTGGAAAAATACAAAGGGCAAAAACACGACTTAATTCGTCCTTCGATGTGCGGGGCAAGATTAAAAAACAGGCACAGGGATTAAAAGAGGGGCTAAATAAAGCAGAAGAAGGGCAGGAACAGTGAAAGTAGGACACAAGAATACTGGCACCTAATCAATAAAGACAGAGTTCAACAGGTGGTGAGATGTCACTGAAGCCTGGTGAACTGCTGAATGGAAAACAGCGCTCCAAAATTTTCCATTCACGCAGGTTGGTTGTGACTAACGGATGTTGTCGGAAGCCATTTTTAGCTGCAACAACGCTGCAGCAAACAGGCACGTGGAACGCTCTTAGCATTATCTCTGCTGTTGATCCAAATAGAGAGTCTCTTTTTTTTTCTTTTCCTTTTCTGAAAGCAGCAAGAAGAGAGAGCAGCGACTCCACAAAGTGAACTGAAGTGACTTACTTTCGTCACCATGGCGAGTCCCAGGAGATAGCTTATGAAACACATAGTTGCAATGAAAATCTCTCTGCGGTAACCCTTCCTGAGAACAGATGGGTAGAGATCCACAATAGAGGTGATCTGTCCTTCCACTTCAACAAACTGGGGAGGAAAAGAAGTGACATTTAACATCTCAGAGCAGTGTGAAGGCCATGGCTAATCTGGCGCCTTAGGCAGGATTTCAAGTGGTTTCCCTTGTGCGATTTTTTTAAAAATCTCACTGCTAAATTACATAGTTTTTTTCTTTATATTTTGACATTATTTTTAGAAACCAGGTTGTCTGTTTAAAATAGTTAACAATATAATTCACTGGAAACAAAATCCAGACATTTACATCAGATCTGCCAACATCTGCTGACAGCAACAAGAAACACCTGTTCATGGTAACGAGCAGCTGTGGAGTGACGCAGTTCTAGGGGGGGCAGAGGTATACTCCCCTAGAAAATTTAGTAAAAGGTCAACTGAAAACTTTGAATTTTCGAATCATTTGAAGAGCATTTTACTAAATTCCTGGGATTAATAAAACAACATAAAATCAGTGTTTTGTGAAGGCAGAACATTGAAAACCAAACTTCAATCTGAACTTTATCTCATACCATAACTGAAACCTCCATTATCCTTTCTATTTTACTTTTACTTTAATTTCCTCTACACTCCTCATGTAGTAACAAATGCTTAGAAACTCAGAGAACAAGTTACCTTCACAAACCAATGACAGACTAAATCAACTATATAATGATAAAGTTATGAAATTTATTTTTTTCGTCCTGTTTGTGGCGCCCCTTAGATGGACAGTGACCTTAGCAGGGCTGACCTTGTGCTGATCCATAAAAGTTCAAATCTTTTGTGGATGGTTGTTGATTTCTTCCACAGCAAGCAAACTCCCAGGAAAGATTGGGCAACTGTTTTACACCAGAGGCCATTTTTGATGCAACCTGGGCTTGAACCTTCAGCCTCAGGATTACAAGACCGTGGCACTGACCACTGAGCTACCACTGCCATAGTGTTGGACAGTTATTTGAACTGTAGTGTATTTCTGATTTGTTTGATGAGCCAAGAGTTAATTTGAAGAAGGTCATAAGTTGATTGCCCATCAGTCTGTAAACGTTCATGGTGGTTCATGCAAATGCTATTTGAAAAACTTTTACACCACGGTCAGTTTCCTTTCCATGAATTTTCCAATGGAAATATTAAGTGACCACAACGTGCACCAGTAGTGTTTAAGTAGTAGTAGTGTTTGCTACTATGTGTGCTTGCTTACTTATACCCACAGAATTCAAAATAAATAACCACATACTGTAAAAATGATGGCAGTGTAAATGTTTATCCAATGCCATTCAGATAAACTGCAATAAAACTTTTGTAATTTTCCATCCAAGGATTAATCTACAACAGGTAAGATATTAATTGTTTATAACAGAACTCCATGTAAAAATTATTTTAACCATCCCTCTAAAAAACATTTTTTCATGCAATAAAAAAATAAATTTACCTTTGTTCCACTGCCACCACATAAAAGTGACGCTAACGATACATAACTTTCAGGTCAACAAATCTGCGTGACATTTACGCTTGAGAAATGCATCCACACACAAACACACACTGCCCTCATTTTCCTCATGGAAATAGCCTCACTTGCATGAACATTTACATGCACTCAAATTTAGGTTGTCGGCCTGCTCTTGCTCCTGGCTGGGATGGGAAGCTGGCCATGTGCAGGGCTGACTTAGTACGAGAGTAGAATTACACTTGGAAGCTGGAAATGTGATAGTGCTGAAGCATCCCACGGGCGCAGATTTGCGTTTTGTCAACTTAGATTATCTCGTCTTAATCAAAGCTCCGCCTCGTATCAAAGGTGGGCAGCTCGGATTAGGGCTATCGTAATGACTTTGACAAAACAAATGTTTGGCAGACGCTCATCAGTTTCTAAAAAGGATTCATTTGTGGCCATTAAACCTGCTTTAATCCTCACACATTGTGGTAGTAAAATGGCTTTGTGGGGACAGATTGCTGTTAACATCTGTCAGTAATCTGAAACCTGTAGTGTGTTAGAGGTGGATCAGGGACACACTGTGTGGGGAGTTTCAGAGTTTGCACAGAAGCACTGACCTGACTGTCCAGGCCCAGAAGCAGCAGCATGATGAAGAAGAGGATGGCCCACAGGGTTGGCAGCGGCATCATGGACACGGCTTTAGGGTAGGCAATGAAGGCCAATCCAGGACCTGGAGAGAGAACAGAGAGGGGGGACGGGGAGAAGGGGACGAGGACATGATTAGCACGTCTATCTGGTTTCAGGTTGGACGACAAACACAAGAGGCTCTATAAAAATATGTCTAGTAAATCTAATGAGGTGTATTAGAGCCAAAAAACAAAGATACAAAACCATTTTATCTTTACATTATGTTAGCCATGATTATTAGAGACTATAACAGAATTAAATCTTGCATAAATGTGCCTTGTATTTGTTAAAATACAGAACAAGCATAAATAACAAACTTTAAAAAGTACATAACAACATATGTATAACATTATTCAACATTTCTACAGCACATGTTTTCTGTTAATGCATCAGGGAAATATCTTGACATGTCACAGGAGTTTCTGTCACTTCCTTCTGCTCAGCCTCACAGAGCCACTGTTTGAATTTGAACTTTACCAAATCAAGTGCATTCACATCTGTAAAATGCTTTGCTTATTTCTGTACTTACTGTGTCCGATGAAACCAATTTAAAACATTTCTAAACAAACCACTTCAACAGGATATGATAAATGCATCAGACAGTGCCAGCAATTGAACCTCAGTTGCACAGTTGAGCAAAATCAAGTAATTAGTGCACAAAAATAATAACACCTTTAAATGTCTTCATTTTGTTGATGTAAAATGTGTCTCTGTGTTATTGTAAGCCATTGATAAATTGCTGTTGGTACAATAAAATGTGACTTAATGTCTTAAGATAGCAATTGTGATCATAATCAGGCAAATTTCAGCTCAAAGTTCACAAAAATAAAAACATGAAAACACACAAAAACAGCAACAAAAACAACACCATATTGACAGGACTGGGTTTATACAGTGCAGTGCTGCTGGTCAGAAATGTTTCCTCAGGCGGAAAATTCACATGTACACTTTAAAGCCAATGTTTAGCAATGTGGTTCTGTGAAAAGATTCCAACTAATCAAGATCTTACCTGTTGTAGATAGTACTTTGATTTACCTTGATTTAAAAATAATAATAATAATAATATTTAACACTGACCAGACTGACGAGGCGACAGCTAGGTCAAGCTAAGCAGAGGCTGAATGGGATTTCTGTTGTTTGAAACAATTTCAGGCTTAAAAGTTATACTTCAAGCCAATGTTATTTTATGCAATACAGTGTAATGCAAAACTGATAGCAATTAGTCTAGTTTTATTTAAAAAATGCATTAACCCATGGTGAAATTTGAAATGCTCAAATTAGCCATTAGCTCATCAGTCAGGTCAGAGTTAAGTCTGTTTATCCAAACTGAGACTGCTCAAAGACCTATCACAACAGGTCAAATAATAATCGCTCATAACCTTTCTACAGAACTGCACATCAAAATGTTTCCATCCCCCATAAATACAATACATCCAGCCAATCTTCTTAGCACTGTCCACTGCTCAGAAGGACGCAGCACTGTGAAACTATATGAGCGGGTTAAATGTGGAACACGTTAGTGAAGACCCAAAACTTGAGCTTCTTTGCTAAAACACACAGCATTTGATCAATGAAAGGAAGCCTGTCCATTGAAACTGGGATAACATGTTTCAGACTCTTTTCTGAGGGTTTTTTTTTTCAAGGAGTGTGCAATTGCCGATACTTTTCATTTTGTCCCGTACCTTACTTACGTTTCTTATCGTCTGTAAACTCTAAAAAAATTTTACATTTCCAATTGTGTCTTTTCTTTTTTTCTTTCTTTTTTTTTTCTTTTTTGGACAGCAGTGCCCACCATCACTGCTGCCATCACCTTGGGACCCTCGTACCTGACTCTGCCACATCGGCAATGTCCACCCCTTGCTCTTGTGCCATGAAGCCCAGGACGGAAAATATTGCGAAGCCAGACACAAAACTGGTACCGCTGTTGAGGCCTCCCAGCAGCAAACAGTCCCTATGTCACACATATGTCATGGAGGTTGTTAATGAACACAGGTGGAACCGAAGTTCCCATTTTCTTTTTCACACAACCGTCTCTGACACGAGTTGCTGTCACTATTACAGTCCCCAGTCCTCCCCCACAAGAAAAAAACCTCACCTGTAGCAGTTGTACTTGTATTTGTTGTAGCTCCCCAGCGAGGTCATGGCTCCCAGACAAATTGCATAGGAGAAGAAAATCTGGGTTCCTGCATCGATCCAAACCTGAGGAGGCAGAAATATTCACTGTCATCAAAATGAGCTGGAAATTAAGCTTGAGATTATTTTAGCGATCCAGATGGGAGTCGTGGACAGTGTTGCCAGGTGTACGATAATTATCGTATTTGTACGATAATTTGGCCCTCTGTACGATGTACGATCAATAATCCCAAAAATCCCATAATGTACGATAATTTGACCGCTCCAATGTGTGACGTAATCGACCCGACACGCTGCTCGCTGACATGAGAGGTGGCGGGTTGTGGAACACAGCGGTGATGATTTAGCGACTTCCTCACTATATTTACAGAGTTTTCAGACCCTCTAGAGACTGTTATTCAGAAAAGAAACTAGTGAAAATCTAGCGACTCTTTTTCTGGTGTTATTGAGACTGAGAGACTCTGCCGTGAACACATTTCTCCATTGTGCTGCTGAGAGCTCCTCCTCCCCGGTCCCAGAGCACCGACAGGAGGCTTCTTCACGCTGCGTCTCTCCCTGCTGCAGGTAGATATCATCCCATCCAGACATGATGCTGACTGATCCATGATGGGATGTTAATAAAAACATTTCTATGGTTAAAATAGATCCCTTTGCCGGCCCCAATAGAAAGGAGGGTTAGAGCTGTGACAGTAAAATAAAAAAAAAAATACATATATTAATCTATCTAGGAGGAACAGAAGAAACTTTTTTTGTTCTCTTGACAAAGCCTACTACTGT